ACGCAGTGTAGCAGTCGCAGTCCCCGCAGAGAGTCGCAGGTCGGGGTGGCGGTTCTCCATGATGGGAGATGCTCTGCAGTCACCTGAGGACGGGGCTCAGAGGTTCCATTCATTAGCGCTGCGTACAGCTGCATACGCCGAATCCGACACCAACAAATGGATTATCTGCGCCTTTCCCTCTCCAACCTCTGCATTATGCATGTCACGCGCTGCAGCCGCCCAGCAGTACCACAGCGCCACCCGCAGGCAGATTGTGGAGCAGAAAACAGCTGGAAAATGAAGACCAGGAGAGAGGAGAGGCTGGAAATGACCGGCTCCCGGGGAACGCTGCTTAGCACACGCATGTCGAATAATTGGCTCACCTCAGTGGTACCTGCGCCATGTTACCCCATACAATGCATGCATGGTGCGCGTCTGCACCTTTCCGTGTGCTGCAAACGCATGTGCAGAGTGCTGCGGCTGATTCCAGGGCCATTCCAGGGCCATTGCAGGATCTGGAAAGCCTAGTCACCCCTTTTACATAGAACCATGGGGGGGGAGGGGGGGTCCAGGCAACACAGATCACATACATACATGGGAGATGTTTACCTGCCAAAGGATTTGTATCTCTGTCCATCCAGTCCTGAGATTTACACAGCTCTGCCACACAGCACAGTCCTGCCTGGATACCCCGCCCCTACAAACAGCGGGCGGATGAGCTCACCTCACTGTCTCTCTGCCTTCTCCTCCTATCAGCATGCTCCTTGCATGGCAATACACCTGATTGGCTCTTTGTGCTGCTTCTCCCCTCTTCCAGCCTGAGCTCTGCTGTACATGAAATGCTGATAACAAGTCAAATCCAGCTACTTCTACTGCAAGTCAGGGAAATGTAGAAATGTCATTACATGTAGATGGGGGGAGGGGAGACATATAACAGATTAAGCTTCAGCTTTACTTTTTGACAGAGTGGGGGATGGGATGGGACCTCTATCAGGTATTCATTGATGCTTGTGTTCCCATCATCTGTGCCTTCCCGTCCCAGGAACATCCACTCCCCCTCTCCCCCCCCCCCTCCAGGGGGTCCAGGGACAGGAAGTGAGGAAATTCTCTCCAATGGGGACAGAAATCAAAAAAGGAAAAAATGTTAAAGCTGAACTCCGGGAAAAAAAACTTTACCTTAGACATATTCCTCAGTGGCCACAAAGGGTATAAATCTACTCTGTGAGCACCAAACGCCTTGCAAACCCAGATATTACCCTGCAAAAGTAGCTGCGGCATCATCACTGGGCTGTGCATAGCCTGTGCAAAGAGCAGAGCTGTGGGAGGGGCCCCACAGGCTCCACCCACTACAGAAACCTATAGGAGGAGGCGGAGACCAGACCAGTCCCCCTGCACAATGAGAGAGAGCAGAGCTGTGGGAGGGGCCTAGCAGGCTCCACCCATTCCCTAAAGGGATGGAGACCAGACCAGTCCCCCTGCACAAGGAGAGAGAGCAGAGCTGTGGAAGGGGCCCAGCAGGCTCCACCCATTAGCAGAGGGGGCGGAGACCAGACCAGTCCCCCTGCACTAGGAGAGAGAGAGAGCAGAGCTGTGGGAGGGGCCCAGCAGGCTCCACCCATTACCAGAGGGGGCGGAGACCAGACCAGTCCCCCTGCACTAGGAGAGAGAGAGAGCAGAGCTGTGGGAGGGGCCCAGCAGGCTCCACCCATTACCAGAGGGGGCGGAGACCAGACCAGTCCCCCTGCACAAGGAGAGAGAGCAGAGCTGTGGAAGGGGCCCAGCAGGCTCCACCCATTACCAGAGGGGGCGGAGACCAGACCAGTCCCCCTGCACAAGGAGAGAGAGCAGAGCTGTGGAAGGGGCCCTGCAGGCTCCACCCATTACCAGAGGGGGCGGAGACCAGACAAGTCCCCCTGCACAAGGAGAGAGAACAGAGCTGTGGGAGGGGCCCAGCAGGCTCCACCCATTACCAGAGGGGGCGGAGACCAGACAAGTCCCCCTGCACAAGGAGAGAGAACAGAGCTGTGGGAGGGGCCCAGCAGGCTCCACCCATTACCAGAGGGGGCGGAGACCAGACCAGTCCCCCTGCGCTAGGAGAGAGAGCAGAGCTGTGGAAGGGGCCCAGCAGGCTCCACCCATTACCAGAGGGGGCGGAGACCAGACCAGTCCCCCTGCACAAGGAGAGAGAACAGAGCTGTGGGAGGGGCCCAGAAGGCTCCACCCATTACCAGAGGGGGCAGAGACCAGACCAGTCCCCCTGCACAAGGAGAGGGGGCAGCAGTGAGCGGTCTTTATTCCAGGAAGTCTCACACTGGATGACGGCTCAGATCTGGAAGAAATACACAGAGATCTCCGAGGTTCCGGAAGACGACACCAATGAATTGGATCCACTGGTCCTTAAATGTATTTATTAACCCCCTTCATGACCAGGCCATTGTTTTGCTATTCAGCACTGCGCTACTTTAACTGCCAATTGCACGGCCATGCCAAGCTGCACCCACATGACATTTCTATCATTTTTTTCACACAACTAGAGCTTTCCTTTGGTGGTATTTGATCTCCGCTGGGTGATTATTTTTTATTATATTAAAAAAAGACCCAAAACAATTTTTTTTTTACTTTTTGTTATTAAATCAAATAAATAATTTAAAAAAAAATCTAATTTCTTCATAAATTTAGGCCAAGATGTCTTCTGCTCCGTGTCTTTGGTAAAATAGAAATCCCAGTGAGTGCATATTGATTGGTTTGTGGGAAAGTTATATCGTCGACTGTGATAATGCGGCGGGCAATCTGACACTAACTGACACTGACATCACCAGTGACACCAATAGAGCGATCAGTGATAATATACACTGTGACTGTACTAATGACACCAGCTGGGAAGGGGTTAACATTTAGGGGCAATCAAAGGGTTAACTGTGTGCTGTGTGTAGTATGTACTAATAAACAGAGCAATGCTACATACAAAGTACAGACTTAATACACCCTATATATTGCCCAAAGTATTGTCCCCGCCCCCTCCCAATCATGTGATTCAGGGGTCTCCCCCCACCCCCCACTGATAATAGATCTCTCAGCAGCCAGCAATACCAGCACCCCACCCCCCTCCAGAACACCCCACCCCCCTCCAGAACACCCCACCACCCTCCAGAACACCCCACCCCCCCCCCAGAACACCCCACCCCCCTCCAGAGCACCCCCACCACCCTCCAGAACACCCCCCCACCCCCCTCCAGAACACCCCACCACCCTCCAGAACACCCCACCCCCCTCCAGAACACCCCACCACCCTCCAGAACACCCCACCCCCCCTCCAGAACACCCCACCCCCCTCCAGAGCACCCCACCACCCCGTGTCAGTACAAATATTCAGAGATGGGTTGTCGCTGAAAAAAAGCTCTGTATATTTATATATATATTGGGGGACGTATATACAATGTGTACAGTCGGGGGTCAGACTGTTCTGTCTGATGGGTGTATATAGAGGGGGGAGGGGTGTACAGTGACGGTGTCACCGGTATACGGAATGTTCCGGCTGATGGGTGTACATAGAGGGGGAGGGGTGTCACCGGTATACGGAATGTTCCGGCTGATGGGTGTATATAGAGGGGGAGGGGTGTCACTGGTATACGGAATGTTCCGGCTGATGGGTGTATATAGAGGGGGAGGGGTGTCACCAGTATACGGAATGTTCCGGCTGATGGGTGTATATAGAGGGGGAGGGGTGTCACCGGTATACGGAATGTTCCGGCTGATGGGTGTATATAGAGGGGGAGGGGTGTAAAGTGACGGAATGTTCCGGCTGATGGGTGTACATAGAGGGGGAGGGGTGTCACCGGTGTATACGGAATGTTCCGGCTGATGGGTGTATATAGAGGGGGAGGGGTGTCACCGGTATATGGAATGTTCCGGCTGATGGGTGTACATAGAGGGGGAGGGGTGTAAAGTGACGGAATGTTCCGGCTGATGGGTGTACATAGAGGGGGAGGGGTGTCACCGGTATACGGAATGTTCCGGCTGATGGGTGTACATAGAGGGGGAGGGGTGTACACCGTATACGAATGTTCCAGGTGATGGGTGTACATAGAGGGGAGGGGTATACGGAATGTTCCGGCTGATGGGTGTACATAGAGGGGGAGGGGTGTACGGAATGTTCCGGCTGATGGGTGTACATAGAGGGGGAGGGGTGTACGGAATGTTCCCGCCCACAGACTGTCTTTTCTATAAGGTCTCTTCTGTAACATTGTAAACATAAAAGCGAAGATCTCATTTTTTATATCTTTTATCTCCTCTCTAGAAAAACAGAAAACATATTTATTGGCGGATTTTCTCCTCGCCGCTCCCGCTGATCCGTCGCGCTGCGTTGTTCTGATCCTTCTCACATCTAAATAAATAAATAATCGCGATTCCATTTCCTCCTTTGATGCAGCCGGTGGAATGGCGGTGAATTCTGGACCCAACCTGAACCCGTCAGCAGTCCGTTCTGAGGACCATGTTGTCGGTTTTCTCTTCCCGCCGGCAGAACAGAAAACACATTTATGGGCCGATTTTTCTTCTCGCCGTTTTATCGCCGGGCATAAACCACCTCGGGATGATTCGCGGCAAACGAGAGAAAAAGCACCTTTTATTGGCCGCCGTTACTCGTCATTAGCGGAGAAGAGTCGGCTCTGAGCGCGTCTGAATAATTTATACAACCTACACGAGGACTGTTTGGAAGTGGATATGAGAACTTCGCCTTCCCCTCCCCCGGGACCGCGGCTCCATCTACACATGTGGAATTTATATCGCCAACCAGGATCAAAAGACGCTGCCGGGGAGGAAATCCAACAGAGGAAATTTTAGGTGACGGCAAAGGACAAAAAATGTGCAGCTGTAAGATGTTGTTGCTGCATCCACTGATAACGTGTGAGATGACGGAGTGTTCCTTTAAATCTGACCTCTGACCTTCCCTCCAGTCTTACACAGGTGTGTACCGGCTCCTCCCCTTCAGTCTTACACAGGTGTACCGGCTCCTCCCCTTCAGTCTTACACAGGTGTACCGGCTCCTCCCCTTCAGTCTTACACAGGTGTACCGGCTCCTCCCCTTCAGTCTTGCACAGGTGTACTGGCTCCTCCCCTTCAGTCTTGCACAGGTGTACCGGCTCCTCCCCTTCAGTCTTGCACAGGTGTATCGGCTCCTCCCCTTCAGTCTTGCACAGGTGTACCGACTCCTCCCTTTCAGTCTTGCACAGGTGTACTGGCTCCTCCCCTTCAGTCTTGCACAGGTGTAGGGGTAAGCTCCTCCCCTTCAGTCTTGCAAAGGTGTACCAAGCTCCTCCCCTTCAGTCTTGCACAGGTGTACCGGCTCCTCCCCTCCAGTCTTGCACAAGTGTACCGGCTCCTCCCCTTCAGTCTTGCACAAGTGTACCGGCTCCTCCCCTCCAGTCTTGCACAAGTGTACCGGCTCCTCCCCTCCAGTCTTGCACAGATGTACCGGCTCCTCCCCTTCAGTCTTACACAGGTGTACCGGCTCCTCCCCTTCAGTCTTGCACAGGTGTACCGGCTCCTCCCCTTCAGTCTTGCACAGGTGTACTGGCTCCTCCCCTCCAGTCTTGCACAGGTGTACAGGCTCCTCCCCTCCAGTCTTGCACAGGTGTACTAGGGTGACAACTCTCACTGTACTAGATCTAAGGATGAGCATTGTTGTCACCCTAAAACAGGAAGTGTGTTAAGACTACAGAAATCCTCCCCCTCACCTCCATAACATGAAGGGGGCGTGGTCCTGTAGTTCTCATAGATAACTGGGAACATTGTAGCTGATGAGGACGCAGCACAGGAGGTTATCAGTTCAGCTTGCTTTTATTTCTTGGATTGAGCAGGCAAGGGTTGCACCCTCTGCTGTCTGTGCCCCCATTGGGGAGATTTCCCCCCACTTCCTCCCTCTGTGACACCCGCAGGGACAGAAATGAAGGAAACCCAACAGAGACAGCAGTAAAAACCTTCCAGAGATTGCGGCCCCCCTCTGCTCCATCCAGATGACTGTTCCAGCCTGGGCTCCTTTCCTGGGGGCGGCGGGGTCTGAACTTGTTGTAAATCGTTGTAATTAAGCTGCGGCAGAGCCGTGTCGGCGAGGACAGCGCGTTGTACGCGTGTTTATTCTGCGCGTGTTCCATTGCCGCCAGTTATTAAAGGTTAATGTGTTTTCTGGGTAAATTATTCCACCGAGAGGCACCGCTTATCTCCGCAGCCCCGAGTACTCGGCGAGCGTCAGGAGCTAAACGCCGGGCTTCTCCTTCTCGGCACAAAACACTTACCTGCGCGGTTATGCAATGAAGGAAGAACTGGTATCAAGGAATTTAATGGCTTGTGACTTCAATTCCCCGCCAGGGAATTCATCTCTCATCCCGTGTTTATCCAAATCCTGTCACATCCTTCCAAGTGCTCAGCCAGGAGGAGGGAGCGTGACCCGTCCGCTTCCATCAATACCGGGGGCTTCAGCCACGGGGCAGAGGACCTGTCATGGTGGAGGGATGGTGACCCGTCCGCTTCCATCAATACCGGGGGGCTTCAGCCACGGGCAGAGGGCCTGTCATGGTGGAGGGATGGTGACCCGTCCGCTTCCATCAATAAACCGGGGGCTTCAGCCACGGGGCAGAGGACCTGTCATGGTGGAGGAATGGTGACCCGTCCGCTTCCATCAATACCGGGGGCTTCAGCCACGGGGCAGAGGGCCTGTCATGGGGAGGGATGGTGGTGACCCAGGTCTGTCTCCATCAATACCGGGGGCTTCAACCACGGGGCAGAGGACCTCTCATGGTGGAGGGATGGTGACCCAGGTCTGTGACTCCAAGAGCGGGTCAGGAGGGAGCGTGACCCGTCCACTTCCATCAATACCGGGGGCTTCAGCCACGGGGCAGAGGACCTGTCATGGTGGAGGGATGGTGACCCGTCCGCTTCCATCAATACCGGGGGCTCAACCACGGGGCAGAGGACCTGTCATGGTGGAGGGATGGTGACCCGTCCGCTTCCATCAATACCGGGGGCTTCAGCCACGGGGCAGAGGGCCTGTCATGGTGGAGGGATGGTGACCCAGGTCTGTGACTCCAAGAGCGGGTCAGGGAGGGAGCGTGACCCGTCCGCTTCCATCAATACCGGGGGCTTCAGCCACGGGCAGAGGGCCTGTCATGGTGGAGGGATGGTGACCCGTCCGCTTCCATCAATACCGGGGGGAGGACCTGTCATGGTGGAGGGATGGTGACCCGTCCGCTTCCCATCAATACCGGGGCTTCAACCACAGAGCAGAGGGCCTGTCATGGTGGAGGAATGGTGACCCGTCCGCTTCCATCAATACCGGGGGCTTCAGCCACAGGGCAGAGGACCTGTCATGGTGGAGGGATGGTGACCCGTCCGCTTCCATCAATACCGGGGGCTCAACCACGGGCAGAAGGCCTGTCATGGTGGAGGGATGGTGACCCAGGTCTGTCTCCATCAATACCGGGGGCTTCAGCCACGGGGCAGAGGACCTGTCATGGTGGAGGGATGGTGACCCGTCTGCTTCCATCAATACCGGGGGCTTCAGCCACGGGGCAGAGGACCTGTCATGGTGGAGGGATGGTGACCCGTCCGCTTCCATCAATACCGGGGGCTTCAGCCACGGGGCAGAGGGCCTGTCATGGTGGAGGGATGGTGACCCGTCCGCTTCCATCAATACCGGGGGCTTCAGCCACGGGCAGAGGGCCTGTCATGGTGGAGGGATGGTGACCCAGGTCTGTCTCCATCAATACCGGGGCTTCAACCACGGGGCAGAGGACCTGTCATGGTGGAGGGATGGTGACCCAGGTCTGTGACTCCAAAGAGCGGGTCAGGAGGGAGCGTGACCCTCCGCTTCCATCAATACCGGGGGCTTCAACCACAGAGCAGAGGGCCTGTCATGGTGGAGGGATGGTGACCCGTCCGCTTCCATCAATACCGGGGGCTTCAACCACGGGGCAGAGGGCCTGTCATGGTGGAGGGATGGTGACCCAGGTCTGTCTCCATCAATACCGGGGGGCTTCAACCACAGAGCAAGGGGCCTGTCATGGTGGAGGGATGGTGACCCGTCCGCTTCCATCAATACCGGGGGCTTCAACCACGGGCAGAGGACCTGTCATGGTGGAGGGATGGTGACCCAGGTCTGTCTCCATCAATACCGGGGGCTTCAACCACAGAGCAGAGGGCCTGTCATGGTGGAGGGATGGTGACCCGTCCGCTTCCATCAATACTGGGGCTTCAACCACGGGGCAGCAGAGGACCTGTCATGGTGGAGGGATGGTGACCCAGGTCTGTCTCCATCAATACCGGGGGCTTCAACCACAGAGCAGAGGGCCCTGTCATGGTGGAGGGATGGTGACCCGTCCGCTTCCATCAATACCGGGGGGGACTTCAACCACGGGGGCAGAGGGCCTGTCATGGTGGAGGGATGGTGACCCGTCCGCTTCCATCAATACTGGGGGCTTCAACCACAGGGCAGAGGACCTGTCGAGGGATGGTGACCCAGGTCTGTCTCCATCAATACCGGGGGCTTCAACCACAGAGCAGAGGGCCTGTCATGGTGGAGGGATGGTGACCCGTCCGCTTCCATCAATACTGGGGGCTTCCACCACGGGGAAGAGGACCTGTCATGGTGGAGGGATGGTGACCCAGGTCTGTCTCCATCAATACCGGGGGCTTCAACCACAGAGCAAAGGGCCTGTCATGGTGGAGGGAGGGTGACCCAGGTCTGTGACTCCAAGAGCGAGGTCAGGAGGGAGCGTGACCCATCTGCTTCCATCAATACTGGGGGCTTCAACCACAGAGCAGAGGGCCTGTCATGGTGGACGGATGGTGACCCGTCCGCTTCCATCAATACCGGGGGCTTCAACCACGGGGCAGAGGACCTGTCATGGTGGAGGGATGGTGACCCAGGTCTGTCTCCATCAATACCGGGGGCTTCAACCACGGGGCAGAGGGCCTGTCATGGTGGAGGGATGGTGACCCAGGTCTGTGACTCCAAGAGCAGGTCAGGAGGGAGCGTGACCCGTCTGCCTCTTGCATCAATACCAGGGCTTCAACCACGGGGCAGAGGACCTGTCATGGTGGAAGGAAGGAAGGTGACCCAGGTCTGTGACTCCAAGAACAGGTCAGAAGGAGGAGTGACCCGTTTGTCTCCATCATGTCCAGGGGCTTTAACCAACGGTCAGAGGGGTCATGGTGGAGGGATGGTGACCCAGGTCTGTGACTCCAAGAACGGGTCAGAGGAGGGAGCGTGACCCATCTGCCTCCATCAAACCAGGAGGCTTCAACCATGGGGCCCGCAGGTCTGAAGAGGACCTGTCATGGTGAAGGGAAGGTGATCCAGGTCTGTCCCCAAGAACAGGTCAAGGAGAGAGCATGACCTGGCCACTGCCATTAAAACAATGGGCTTCAACCACGGGGCCGCAGGTCTAAAAAGGACCTGTCATGGTGGAGGGAAAGTGACCCAGGTTATGGGACCCCAAGAACAGGTCAGAAGGAGAAAGTGTGAACCATCTACCATCAATACCAGGGGGCTTCAACCACGGGGCCCGCAGGTCTAAAGAGGACCTGTCATGGTGGAGGGAAGGTGACCCAGGTCTGTGACCCCAATAACAGGTCAGAAGGAGGGAGCTTGACACGGCAGCTTCCATCAATACAGGGGGCTTCAACCACGGGGCCCGCAGGTCTAAAGAGGACCTGTCATGGTGGAGGGAAGGTGACCCAGGTCTGTGACCCATGAACATGTCAAAAGGAGGAAGCATGACCGGTCCACTTAAATCAGTACAGGGGGCTTCACCGATGGGGCCTGCAAGTCTAAAGAGTACCTGTCATGGTGGAGGGAAAGGTGACCTAGTTATGTGATCCCAAGAACGGGTCAGAAGTTGGGAGTGTGATCCATCCACTTCCATCAGTAGAGGAGGCTTCAACCATGATGAGGCCTGCAGCTCTAAAGAGGACCTATCACGGTGCAGGGAAGGTGGCCCAGTTCTGTAATCCCAAGAACAGGTCAGAATGAGGAAATGTGACCCATCCACCTCCATCAGTAGAGGGGGCTCCAGCCAAGAAGGGCCCGCAACTCTAAAGAGAACCTGTCACAGTACAGAAAGGAGGCCTGGCTCTGTGATCTCATGAACAGGGGGTCACAAAACAGTATGGCAGCAACAACGATGGTTCAGCAGCTTTAGGGTCAGTTCACACCACAATGGCCGCATGCAAGGTGCGTATTTTGTGCATTCCCGCATATTCCTTCTTTCAGCGCGCTGCCAGACGCACGAGAACACGCACACGGTACAGCAGACGTGACTCTTATACTCGCACCACGCCACGTGTGTCATGAATTCTGCTGACTGCGATTGCACTTACATGTGTCAGATGCACGGGGTGCCATTAAGAATGAATGACACCCACACGTGTCTGCGGGAGGCAGCGCATTTCCTGCACCAACAGTGGTGTGAACCCCCATCCTCCCCCAGGCCAATGATATCACTGCCCAGGAACAGATCTCCAATGAGGAAGGTTCGGGGAAGTAGCAACCAGGCATCACAGATCAGTAGTAGAGGAGGAGGGATTGGGGGGAGTTTTGCTTTATCCCCATCCACAACCGTACCCCATTCCCCCCCC